TAGTACAGAGATATATAATAAGTATATATTGAAAAAGGCGGTGTGGCACCTCCCATTTAAACAGAATTTCTCACACCACACTGCACTACACATTCTAATGTGAGAAATTTAGTTTGTATGGGAGGTAAAAAAAACTCCCATTTTTCCATGAGTTTGGCGTTGATATTATAGTTATATCTCTATACAATGTTGCAGCACTCTACGATGAATACTTCCAGAGATATGTTGTTTAAAAACTTCAGTTTATATGTGAGGTGCCACGCTCATTGATATATTGAAAGCGATGCCCAAAATTTGAAAAATATCGGTACAGCTGTTCTCGATTTTTTCGAACAGAAAAAAACGGCTTCCAAAATATATATTAGTAAAGATAACAAATTAAATTATTTTTTGATTAAATGTCGCCTATGGAAAAATGTTTACGAATAATTTTTTAAATATTTGCAGACATTTTCAATTAATTTCAAGTATTTTCCAAAACAATGGAAACATTAAAACGTATCATTTTTTTCTTAAATTTTTCAACATAATTAAGTAAAAAACTAGAGCCTTTTAAAAATTCGCGATGAATAGATCGACGCAAAATTTAATTATCTCTTATTTAAAAAAAAAAATAAACTTGTAATCGGTTCATATTTGGCCTCTCAAAATTGATTTGTCCTCATCAACCTTTTTTGCCCCACTGTGTAGCGTGGCATTAATTGAAGGGCTTCTGCTTTCGCCACGCATAGTAGGGCTTCCAACAGGGTTCTTGAGGAATTTTTCTGAAGCTATTCCTTTAATCCTTACAAATTTTATTTTTAGATATTTATTTAAAGTTTATATCAAATTTAGTGTTGTTGTTGTTTGCTAAATAATACAAACTTATGAGATAATAACAATAATATATGTGCGCTTCTACAATACCATCTTAGTGTTTGGCCGAACTTCTCCGATTTGTGGCGTACGTCTCGATCAATATGGTCACTATGGGGAGGGACCTACAGTTTTACGCCTAATCCAAATGCCGCATAGTGCTTCCCTTCCATATAAAATGTGGGCAAAAATAGAATTATTGACAGATTTAAATGAAAATTCGCTTCTTAGTAGAATTAGGACGCCAAATTCAAAAATGCACATGGTTNTGTGGGCAAAAATAGAATTATTGACAGATTTAAATGAAAATTCGCTTCTTGGTAGAATTAGGACGCCAAATTCAAAAATGCACATGGTTTTTGGACAATTTTCATACTTTCACTATAAATTCAGTTTGAAGTTGACAATTTGGGTTCTTATAGCATTTATATAGGTGTGTACATATAGTACATTCTATTTGCAAAAGTGAGGTGTCTAATGACAACGCTTGGCCTGCAATAAGGTTTTATTTTTTTGGGAAGGGTTGCCACATGTTTTAAATTTATTACAATTGTTTAATCAGTTAAATGAATTAGATACTACAATATGGGTATACATTAAAATGGTTTTGCAAATGCTTTATTTCTAAACGACAAATTAACTTTATTTAACGGAATATGGCTATCAGACAAATGAAAAAATTTTACACATTGATTAAGAAATAAGTGAAGAGGAAATCCATTCCTGAGTTAATTTAAGAGTCCAGTAATATAAAAGGAATGTAATAGGAACAAATCATTGATTGACAATGTAAGTATGTGTAATAAAATAACAAATATCATGTCGTAAAGCTTTGGTTTGACACAATCCTTATTTTGGTTTAATTTTAAGTTTTACTTTACGAACAGGCGGCAATTCTCTTCGTAATATTTGCAAGCTAAAACATTCTTAAACCTCTTTCGGCTGACTCCCATACGGTGATGCCTAACTATTTCAATTAATTCCTTTAATTCAAAAGGAGTTTGATTTTTTAAACAGGTGGCAACCCTCTACATGTAGTTAAGAAATAAGTCCTTTTCATACACATTTCGATTGATACCCGTCTCTTAATAATTCATTTAACATACTAAAAAATTGGAATGTAATTTTTTAAGAGGGGGCAACTGTTAAAAAAAATTAACCTCTATTGTCTACACGTCAAGATTTTTAATCTGACACCTCATTTTTGAAAATTGAACGAATCGTGCAGATCTGATGGCACTGACAAAAAATTAAAAAATGATTTTATGCATTAGCAAAAAAAAACCTATTACTTCAAAAAGTGCAAAAACTGAGCAGGTTTTTATTTCTTCTTTCAGAAGCTTTAAACCCGTACTATTTAATAAGGTAATAAAAAATAACATATTTTTACATCTACTTTTAATTAATTCCATTAAAAATTACCAATTTTTTTAATTTTGATTAAAAAAACTTAGGCGGCATGGTGCGACGCAACGCGAAAATGTTTTTTTACCTGGAAAATAAAAAAGAGTCCCCTTTTTGTTAATGATTTATATGTTTTAAAAGACGTGATCTTTCGATTGAGATAATTTTTGATGATATTAAAATGACCATAATTGAGAAAAATTACAAATAAATTTTTGCTTCGAATTTTCTCCAAACTTTGGAAATCGCATGGCACTTTCGGATAGGCTGTACAAAAATCTATGAAAACCATAGTTCTCGAATTATGTTTCCCATTAGCTGTCTGCTTTCCAGCTACTCAAAAAATTTCTTTTTTTGCGCCGCTCAGCGCGCCTGTGATATTGGACGAAAATCGCCCATATGTACCTTATATCGAAAATGTTTGAAATCGGAGGAACACCCCAGCTATTTATATTTTTAAACTATATTTATTACATACGCCGAGGCCGGTTTCGCCCGAAGTTATACCTCTTAACTTGTTTTTAACAAAATAACTCGCTGTAAACAATTCTTGATTACATGAAAAACCGTTAAAAGGAGATAGATTGTAATCAATCATTGTAACCGTTATTGCGAATAATTTTGAAATGTAATACGGACCATACATATCAAATTAGCAGCGCCATTGCAATTTTTTATTAGCATACGAGTTAGTGGAACCGTGCAAACGAATAAAATTATCGAATATATGCAGACTTAAAATTTTAAATGAGGCAGCCTCAAAGGAAACGACCGATTAATACCAAATTTGAATTGTTTCGCTTTTGGATTGCATTCACACTTAACGATCGGTAAATATGCTTAATTTTTAAATATTTATAAACACATATTCAAATTGGCGTGTTTGTTTGTATTTGCCTGATATAAGAGCTAAAGACTTGACCTTGAGATGTTAGTTATATGCAAGTTGTGCGAATTTTTTAAATTTTTTCTTTTCAATTTTGTTGCTAAAACTTTGCAAGTTTTTGCTATATCGATGTTTTTCTCTATTGTTTTGTTTGGAAATTTGCTGCAAAATTTTTGTTGCAGTATGCAAAATTTATGCATTTTTTGCAATTGAAATTTTTCGAGTATAAATTGGGCTGCAGTTTCTTGAAACGGACAGAAATTAGTTGACTTGCAAACTGAAATTAAATCCAACCAATCTACAACATGCGTGCCTTTTTGGTAAGACAGCTTGAAATTATTTTAAGGTTTTAATACTAGTTTGCATATATTATTTAATTTTTTTTTTTCATAATCAAGATCCTGTGTTCAGTCATCTCAGCAACCTATGCGGCCAGTCTGGGCTACAACTATGAGAGCAACAACGGCCCATCGCTCGGTGGCGGTCTAAGTGGTGGCCAAGTGGGGGGTCCGAGCTATGGTGGTTTAGCTGCCGCCGGTCCAAGCTACAGTGGCCCCGCCACCTTCGGTCCCAGCTATAGCGGCCCTTCCTCATCAGGACCAAGCTACAATGCCCCAGCCGAGTTTAACAAAGAATATTTCACCTATACCGCACCTGAACATGAATTTGGCGATGCTGGTAATAATGATCAGTTGGCTAACTCACTAAAGAAGAATTTGCGTGTCATCTTCATCAAAGGACCTGAAAACACAGGACTCGAGAATGCTGCTTTGCAACTGGCTAAATCGGTCGGTGATGATCGCACCGCCATCTATGTGCTCAACAAACAAGCAGACATCGGCGATTTGGCTAACAAATTGCAATCTCTCAACCACCAAAACGCCAACAAACCCGAGGTGCACTTCGTCAAGTACAGGACCCCAGCTGATGCTGAAAATGCCCAGCATGCCATCCAGTCGCAATACGACGGTTTGGGCGGTCCCTCCAGCAGCCACAATGGCGGTGTTGCGCCAGTGTTGAACTTCGCATCAAAGTCGCCTGCGCCAGTTGCCCAGCAGCAGTATAGTGGCGCACCAATCAGCAGCGTCGATAATGCCTATCTGCCACCAAACAAGCGCGTATAAATATGAAATTCTAAGTCTGTTATACATAGAGTGAATGTGTTATTGCGATCACCACTTAGTTAATTTGATACATTTTAAGTTCTAATGTTCCTTGTTACGAGAAAATTGTACCATCGCAAAGAAGCGTGTGCAAATATATGTTTATATTTTTAAGTTTACCAGCTTTAAAGCTCATCATTCAAATTAGCTTTCTTTTAATTTTATTATACGGCGAATTTTTGAATACTTTGCGTATTTTTAGGCTGAAATACTGTCTTTTGTTTCTGCAGAAGACAAGTTCGGTGAGTAACCGGTTCCTGAAGAGAAATAAGCCAGTGCCAGATTGTTGTGGTTTAAACGAAAAAAATTGAATTAGTTTTCTTTGCCATACAAGCTCGCAGTATATTTTAGTGTTCTTGCAAGCTTTTATTTAACTTGCTTGCATGNGTACCATCGCAAAGAAGCGTGTGCAAATATATGTTTATATTTTTAAGTTTACCAGCTTTAAAGCTCATCATTCAAATAAGCTTTTTTTAATTTTATCATCCGGCGAATTATCGAATACTTTGCGTATTTTTAGGCTGAAATACTATCTTTTGTTTCTGCAGAAGACAAGTTCGGTGAGTAGCCGGTTCCTGAAGAGAAATAAGCCAGTAGCAGAATGTTGTGGTTTAAACGAAAAAAATTTTATTAGTTTTCTTTGCCATACAAGCTCGCAGCATATTTTAGTGTTCTTGCAAGCTTTTATTTAACTTGCTTGCATANATAATGATCAGTTGGCTAACTCACTAAAGAAGAATTTGCGTGTCATCTTCATCAAAGGACCTGAAAACACAGGACACGAGAATGCTGCTTTGCAACTGGCAAAATCGGTCGGTGATGATCGCACCGCCATCTATGTGCTGAACAAACAAGCGGACATCGGCGATTTGGCCAACAAATTGCAATCTCTCAACCACCAAAACGCCAACAAACCCGAGGTGCACTTCGTCAAGTACAGGACCCCAGCTGATGCTGAAAATGCCCAGCATGCCATCCAGTCGCAATACGACGGTTTGGGCGGTCCCTCCAGCAGCCACAATGGCGGTGTTGCGCCAGTGTTGAACTTCGCATCAAAGTCGCCTGCGCCAGTTGCCCAGCAGCAGTATAGTGGCGCACCAATCAGCAGCGTCGATAATGCCTATCTGCCACCAAACAAGCGCGTATAAATATGAAATTCTAAGTCTGTTATACATAGAGTGAATGTGTTATTGCGATCACCACTTAGTTAATTTGATACATTTTAAGTTCTAATGTTCCTTGTTACGAGAAAATTGTACCATCGCAAAGAAGCGTGTGCAAATATATGTTTATATTTTTAAGTTTACCAGCTTTAAAGCTCATCATTCAAAT